GAGTCAGCTGGGATAGACTCCAGCCCCCCCACCACCCTAGTGAGGATTAAGCGGTGTATAGATGATGAATGGATGGATGTTTCAGTGTCCATTAGCTAGGTGCTAAATCAGCTAACCTACTAGCTCTCTGTTGGACTGCTCCTACAACATAAACAGTGTTTTGTGGCACTGAGGAATCGGTTTTGGTTTCTCAGACATTATCTTGCTTGCTTAACCCTTCTGGGCTTTTAATTATTTCCTACTATTCCCAGATCTCGTTTTATATTATCCTCTAATCAGCCGTGCTCAGTCTGAAACAACACGTCCACATGAATGCCAGGACTCGAGTTCTCCAAACAGAACCTCGTACTATGATGATCAGTGGTGATTCACATGCCAGTGGGTTTAATGTTGTCTTACTGTTTGTATGCTAATTGCCTTCTCCCCACTGTGTCTTGGTGCTGTCATATCAGTTAATGCACTGTTTAGGTAGCATTGCATATTATGGTCCAGGATACCGGCGTCTTTTCTTTTATCTACCGAGAACTCCTTTCAAGGCAGGTCCTATAATGAAATGTCATGTATAGACCTCAGAGGCAACAATAACGTGGCATTCTGAGAACCCGCCTATCTAATGGGCGTCTCATTGTATGAAGCATGTGCTCTCTTGCCTTCTGAGCGCTCTCTTACTTACAGGTTTTCCATTCAGACTTTGCACAGAGGTGGCTAATTAGTCAAGGTGGTGATTACGCCCTGGAACCAGAAGTCTATTCAGACATTCACCAGAACGTCGGACCAGTGGGGAAAAGCCAATGAGGCATCTGATTATGTAGTCGATGCTGAATGAAGCATCGCTGGCTTGTAAACAGCGATGGAGCCCACTTAGTCATGCTGATGATGATGGCGCGGTCTCAACAGGAAACTGGTAATCAGTGAAACGGACCTTGATTAAAATGAATTATGATGCTTGCGGGGGGCCCCAAGTGATCTAAAGTGCACAATATGCCACTCCTCGTTCTCATTTTTGCTATCAGATATTATCCGAGGAGTTGATATAGGGACCGTTTCCCCTGCTGTCATCCTTGTGTATATCAATCCAGAAGTGTTTTTTTTTTTAATGGCATTAGGGGTGATTCGCTCGGCTTGAAGCTCGCTGGCTGGCTGTCAGAGGTGCTGCAGTGGCACCGCTAGTCATCATGTGCTCTGTGGCCTGAGACCGTATTGGCAGCTATGCATTAAATTGCTAATGCGCCTGGCAGAGCTACATTATCCGCGCCATCAAAGTGACAAGGGCAGAGATAAAGCACTCCGCTCAGCTGTCCATGAGATCATCGCAAAATGGGTTTCGTGGATGTGCCTTGGCAGCGGGCAAAGTTGTCTTTCAGAATCCTTTTCTTTTGAATTTGCTTTTGTTTCTGCCTGGCTGATTTGACAGCTGCAGAACAATGAGGTTGAGGTGGCTGGGCCGGGTCCGCCTCCGCTCGCGGTCCCTCCGCGGCTGAACTCGCACACCTGGCTGCCCCTGAAGCACGGCACTTTGTAGCGCCGCGGTTCTCTGCACACCTCAGTATGTAAGGAAATGCTCGCACATCCAGAGAACAAAAATATTGACTTGACAACAAATCGATTTTTTTTTTTTTCTTTCCTAGCATTTTGTTGGCCACTGTCAGCTCTGTGCAGTAAAATAAGATTTGGACATTTTGACGGACTAAGTCTAATCTATAAAAAATGCAGTGTGGATTTGTCCTTGCAGGACAAAAATAAAAAAAGAAAGAGCAGAGATTCAAGCTCAGTAGCTCTGTATTCTTTTCAGTATGAGTCCTGTGTGGCAGCTGGATGGTTTGTTTGTCCTAGTCTGCTCTGTGCCTGGATTTTTAGACCCTCAGGCCTCAGGCTGTTGAGTAATGTGATTGCCTCAGGAGCCCCAAGGAGAAACACTCATGTCAGCTTCTTAATAGGTTTTCAAGATCACTTTAAGAGGCACGGTTGCTGTTAGTTTTTTTATGGATGGAAGTTGAAGCTTGCACATCTTATTATTAATCACTTCCCTGCCATTGACCAACAAATCCGCTGCTGTCGTAGAGAATAATGACAAAAATAATCACAAAATTTGAAAATATGTTTATAATCTACTTCATGGGAGTCTGTAGATTATTTTCAGTACGACGTGTTGAATTTACATCTGCTGAAATCGCACCATATAATAAGTCCAGGTCTTGAAACTGCCAGTGGAAGTCAGGGATAGAAAAGTCGCATTCGCTTGGAAATGACTAATTCCTTGTCACCGCTGGCTGACCGGAAACATGGGAGGACCTGCGCGAGGGAGGAGGGCTTCAGGTGCGATGTAGACGAGGCAGAAAACCAAGCACCTTGCGATGATTAATGAGCTTCGCCTCGTGCCAGCAGTTTGAAACACGCCGTCCCGATCATGAGCGTAAGCAGCGGCGCTCTGCAGCTCGGTGACAACGCTGCTGCCGTCGCTGCCTCTGCTTCACCTGCACACACACACAAAGCATCAAACTAAACAAGCGCCTGCTGAATCTCAAGCTGTGTAGCAGATAGAAGTAAGGAAATAGTATTGATTCAGTTTGTGGCTGGTGACAAACCAATGTTACTTGTGCTTTTTTGTCCTTGTTTTGCTTTTGCTTCTTTTTTTTTTTTAGACCACAGTGTCATCAGATATTAACCTCAGTTAGGATTTTGGCTAAATTATCACGATCGACTGCGATATCGACGCTGAAAACACTCAGAGAACTCCCTCTGCATACCGAATGGAGCTCTTGCTAAACTAACAGCCAGCGAACGAGACGTCTTGGCTTCACTTTTAGGGGAAATGTCACACCGCTGCACACGCAAACCCTGCAGCAGCAGCAGCAGCGGCCTGTGCAAAAAAAAAAATCTCCCGGAGCCATAAAAAAACAGAGAGCAGACAGGCAAAACGAAAATCAAATGTTTGGAACAGAAGGTGAAGCGGGTCATCAGCCGTTGTTTGGGAGCATTTTGAATTCAGGGCAAGTGATGTTAAGCAAGATCAAAACCGTATATGAAGAGTGCACAGGACCGCCGCAGAGCAACACAACCGCCTAAAAAAAAAAAAAAATCACCACCAACTACTGCACGACGAACGCCTGAAGGCAAAGGAGAATAACTTCGCTAACCCTACCTCAACAAATCACCATTTTTATCCGGCAGCACAATGTGGAAAAGTGACCGCAAGTTAGAGTCGGGCAAAAGTTATATAAATCTGTGTTTTGCTTCTAGATGTGAATCAGGATGCAAGAATCTGTACGGGAGTAGAAATGGTGCCCAACATGGAACTGAAAAGAGTGGTGTATCTAAACGTGACATCCATGATCTCTACACCTTAATCCTCACTAGGGTCATGGGGGGCTGGAGTCTCTCCCAGATGACTCAGGGTGAAGGCAGGTTCACCTGGACAGGCAACCAGTCTATCACAGGGCTACAATTAGAGACAGACAACCAAGCACACTCACATTCACACCTACGGACAATTTAGAATCACCAATTAACCTCAGCATGTTTCTGAACTGTGGAAGGAAGCTGGAGAACCCAGAGAGAACCCACGCTGCACGGGGAGAACATGGAGACTCCACGCAGAAAGATCCCAGGTGTCCTCACTGGGACGCCAACTGGTGACCTTCTAGCTGAAACATGATGGTGCTAACCACCGAGCCTGCAATGTAAATGTTTTATCTTTAAATTGAGCGAATGATTCTGATAAATAATCTGAGTGTGGATCGATATAATAACGCTTATCATTTTGGCCGTAGTCGTAATTATCTCTACCGAGCAGGTTGATAATGGAGCGATGTGGGATTATTGAGCGAAAGAAAAACTTATTACATTTGGTGCAGATCTAAATCATGCCACACAATCATTTTTTTCTTCTTAATTTAACAAAAAGTTTAATAAACTCCACTTTCTCATCGTCTGTTCTTATATTTGTATGATTATCTGTGTTCTGTCTGGTCTCGCTGTTATCGCTGAAACAGCCGCGCTCAGCATATTCGATATTTGAGGAAAACAGTTGGACCGACCATAAACACAGAAATTAAGCTCGTTAAAACAACACCACGCATAAGGCTTCGTATTGTTGAGCAGCATCTCGGCCTCCTCTCCCCAACCTTAGCTTGTGTTGTTTGGCTGACGCTGTTGTTGTACATGATGCAATACGAATCAGAGAATTTCTCCAGCGTGTGACGGAGCTTATTAGCCACGCCGACGAGGTTACCACGGCCTCTGTAGGATGCATACGCAGGAGCAGGTTCCCTATACGTATCTTAATGTACGATAAAGCAGCTCACATTAATTAGTTGTTTGGCAAAAAAAAAAAAAGGTGCCTCTGAAAATTTAGCGAACACTTGCTTGGTTCTCTTTGGCAGCAGCCTCCTCGACGGTGTCAGCTCTTTCGTTCTGCTGCTTGACAGCGTTCCAACCCCCTCGGCTTTCCACAGCTACCACGCCGTGAATCCAGCCTTGTTTGCACTGATATTCCTTATATTTGTTCTCAGGGGTTTTTCTTTCTTTCTTTTTGTTCCCTTTGGACGTTATTCCTCTCTTCCGAACCTATTTTATGTCTTTTCTCTCCACATGCCGGCGGTTGCGATTGGAATTATCAGCACAATAAGACTGATTTGTTCTCTTAAAAAAAAAAAAGAAAAATAGAAAAATACCACAGCATGTGTGAAAGCTCTTCATCTTGTCTTCTTTTTTTTTTTTTTTTTAACCAAAGGCTGACCTGAGAGTTGTTGGCATCAGCACAAATGCTCAAACAGTGAATGGTGGCTTTATCTTCCCCTGTTCGAACAAAGCAGAGTCTCTGCAGCTCACCCATTCTTACCGCCTTCAGAAAAGCTCTAAATAAAGTCATCTATTCTTTCCTCGAGCTAAGTGCTTTTTTCTCTCTCCGTCAACAGTGATAAAATTTTGCCAATAGATGGCCTACAAATGGAAATAGATGTTCGCTCTGTTGGTCTAACACTCTCTGGTTTGTCTTTCAGGTTCAACTACAGATCAACACATCATCTCACCACCAATGGCTTCTACGAGTTCCTCAACTGGTTCGACGAACGGGCCTGGTACCCTTTGGGCAGGATCGTCGGAGGCACGGTGAGTTTCTTCTCCAGGTGTTTGTTCTTTTCTTTTAAGCACTTGTTAGAGGATTACAGATTCAAATGATAAAAATAAGACGCTCATGAAGGTGTTTTTGGTTCCTCAGTGTAGAAGAAGTACAGGAGGGCAGGTTTTAATGTAATTTTTGTGGACTGGACAGCGTCTGTGGCAAAGACAGGGGACCACAAACCACGTATTTCAGCCTCTCCCGGAAAGGTTAATGCCGAACATTTTCATTATCATTTAATCAACCAATTATCTCTTGCTTCATCCATTAATCACTCACTCTGTATATCATTACAAAAGAGTAAAAAAGTGGTCTTCAAGGTGACTGTCTCCAGCGTGAAGTTATGCTTTGTGTTTTATTTGAGGTAAAACAAAAGAAAATGCAGCAAACCTGTACGTTTTAGAAGCGTGAACAGCTGAAATGTTTAGAATGATCGCTTCTCGTAATGATGATTTATTGTCAGAATCGTTGCAGATTAATACTCCGTCGCTCGGCTAATGGATCAGATCAAACGAGTGTTTCCGCAGATGTCATCCCGCCCGTCGGTTTTCGCCAAAGTCTGTTTTAATTTTGGCTGCAGATGTTTTCCAGCGTGGCCGTCTCAGGATTGCCGCGCCGTATTTTTCTGAAGTTTAATCAGGCGCCGACCTCCGACGTGAACTAGCTCGCTCTGCACAAGAGCAGAAAGCGGTTTGGACGAGAGTCAGCAGCTGAGGCGATGCTACTCCACCAGATTGCACCTTTTCGAGTTTGCCGGCCCATCCGAAGCAGCAACTTGATTCATTAGCGAGGGTGAGATGGAGCCTGAGATTGACGGGTGAACTGGTACTGAAAGAGCAGATTAGAGCCGCTTTAATGAGCGTACTACACGGGGCGTCTGGGCTCACCTCAGAGATAGGGCGAGAAGTTCAGGAACCCACAAGCTTTTTGTGTTAAAAGGAGCCAATTGAGGCTATTCAGGCATCCAAAATCCTCTTACTTACCTACGGAAATAGTCCAGGCTCCTGGAGAGAACCCCAACACATGCTCGAAAGATTACACATTCCTCCTACCCTCTGGTTCTGATTGGTGAATATGTGAATCACTCTTATATTAGATAATAATCTGGTGATTGATTCGAACACGCAGGAGCTGACCTGCACGTCAGCCGAGCCGACAGGTTGATGGAACTGCTGAAAACAAAGCTTGCTAGATACGAGAGAAAACATTGTGTAAACGCATCCGAGCGATCCCCACACAAGCCTGCCTACGAGCGCCGTGGAGAACTATTTCAGGGGTTATCTGGGGTTAGGCGATGCAGCTGAGGGATACCATAGAGCCCTATAAGCCTCCGCCTGGCAGCACGGATTTAAGTCACAATCCAGTAGCAACAGTGAATTGTTAACCTGACAGATTCCCCCTCGGCTGCCGCGGCCTCCCTGCTTACCGGCAACAATGATCGCGGTGAAACATTAAACCTTCTCCGTGAAAAATTGGACATGTTGATTCCACACAGTTTATCCCGGCCTCCCCTCCTCTGTGCATTTCTTCTCCCGATCTCATCTCCTCAGCCCTGCATCCTGTGAACTGTGAGGCCTGTGTGACTTAAATAGCCAGGCCTATCCATCTCCGTCTTCTCTTTAACAACCCCACCTGCTTTCTTCTCTCTGAGCCGGGCTTCACGGTCGCACCAGGGTTACTCTCTGAGCTGTAATTGCACAAGGTAATGATGCATCAGGACTACATAATCTTGGTCCTCGGTGCTGCATAAAATGTGAAATGTCTCCCAACGTGTTTCCAATATTGAGTCCGGCTAAGATGCTGAACAGCCTGTAGTATGACTCCCCCTCCCCCCTCCTTCCTCTATATTTATTTATTTATTCCATATTTCCATCTCTGTGTGCTATAAACGCTCTCTCTCGGGCTGATTGGGGATTTCCTCCACACACGGTTGAGACAGCGAGGCATGTTAATGCTGTGCACTGCTTTCACTTGCTGTTATCATTACAGCATTAGGCAGATGGTCCATGGCAGGAGCTGCAGCCGTTCTCCATGCTGATGTTTGAATCCACACAGTTTCCACCACAGCACAAGAAACCCATAGAATCGGAATCCAAAAGCCATCCGTCAGCATTCATCCGTCAAATGCAATTACCATCAGCCACTGGTAATTGCACATGACAGGCCTGGCTTGTAATAATGGATGTGCTGGTTCTGTTGCAGAACGTGGACACTTGCGTTGGACCTTGTGCCCACAGGGTGGAAGCTGAGGCTCATGATTAGACTGGTAATCGGAATTGGAAGGCGTATAGTCTCAAGTTAATTTTCATGACATTTACAAGATTCCTGGGCTGCACACAGCATTGTCTACTGCATACAAATAGGCCAACCCTGCTCAGATCCGTCTTCTGTGCTCCCGTATTGGCGTTTCTTAAATGTACGAGTGAGAAAAAAAAAAAAACAACAAAACGCAGCGGAGTAATTTGCACACGGTTCGTTTGAAGTAGATTACCATGAGCTACACAAATCTCTTCTCTGCTCAAATTTAGTTTCACTTAACAGTCATTTCATTTTCCAGTTGAACATTACTTTAAATATTTTAATGTCCTCAGCAGACTGCCCTCCAGCTAAACCCATCTGCAAACAGAGAACATACGAGAGCTTACGCTGAATCAGAGCCGAGGTGCCACCGTGAGTAACGTCTGACTTCCTTTCTAGGATAATTGGCTTCTATCTGTTCGTCGTTTCTCTTTATTAATAAGAAAGTTGCTGAGTTGGACATCTATTCTCCGTCATAAAAAAAACTAAACACTTATGTCCCAATCAGATTCAGCTTTATGATAATTCAAGACAGGAAGTTAGCTGTGATTTCTAACTTCTTTATTACATCGGAAATAAACCAGAAAGAATGCAATAAAAAAAACATACCGTTACCTAAATGCCCTATAAAAGCAGAACCGGTTGAGCCCGTTGGAATGGGTTTATGCCTGGTGTGATTTGCGATGCCCTTGTCTTGGCAGCGTTGAGCGGAGGAGCCACGAGGAGTAGTGTTTCTCTCCCGGCCCTCAGGTATATCTTACGCCGTCTCCCAGCAATTACAGAGCAATTACAGAGGTCACATTGTCCTTGCACAACGCTGTTATTATTTTGAACATTGTTGGCAGAGGACTCTTTCTACACCGTCGCCACTAAAACAATTTGCTGTATATCTTTTTATTTGACATTTTAAAGGCGCCCCGCTCCAACAGATGATAGTTCCACTGCTGAAATCAATTCTCAGACTGTTTCCTATAACCAGTGTGTTGCTTTACTGACCTAATTGGAGTAATGGGACTGGACCACTGCAGCAGAACCCCCTTGTCATTAGAAAAAGGTCTGTTTTTATCAACAAATCCCAGGATGAGACCAAAATGAACTTGATATAACTCATTTTTAAGCACAATCCTTGCCCCAAACTGTAACGCCAGGTGACATCTTCACCAGAAGCATCAGCTATGTGATTTGTTTTGAATCCAATGCACTGTCTCGCACACATTCCCCAGCTCACAAAATGCGTATTAATCTGCAGCTGAAAATAGTCTCCAACAAATGCGCTGTTTACTCCTGGGTAAAAAACTACAGCGCCCATCATCTCGGGGGGTGTTACCGTGACTGTGTCTTTTTTCATTACATATAAATCCAGTCTGAACCAAAAACTGTGCCGTAATAATCATTTGGAAGAAGCCCTGTACCAGATGGCAGGTTTTAGCCGTACAGGTGGAAGGGGTCACTGTGCCGGCCAAACTAAATGCAAATGTCTCCCTGTAACATGCAAATCTATGCAAAGTGAAGTAGCATCTTGGAGTTGACGCATAAAGGAGATCTGACAGAGCCAGGGTCAGAACGGATGCCTGATGAGGCTGAGGTCTGGGGAATGGAGAGGCCGAGTCAACACCTTGAACTTGTCCAAACCGTTGCTGTGCAGTGTGGCCTTGTTCTGTATGATCCAGCTGAAAGAAGCTGCTGCCGTTTGGGAGCACGGTCGCACAATGGGGTGTACGTGGTCTGCTTTTAGGTAGGTGGTGTGTGTCAACGTAGCATCCACAGGAATGCCAAAACCCAATTTTCCCAGCAGAACATTGCCCAGAGCGTCACACTGCCTCTGCTAGCTGCCCCTTTACCCATCCTGCTGCCATCTCATCTCCAGGTAAATATTAGAACTAGTTCATCCATTCATCCATCATCTCTACACCTTAATCCTCACTAGGGTGGTGGGGGGCTGGAGTCTATCCCAGCTGACTCAGGGTGAAGGCAGGTTCACCTGGACAGGTAACCAGTCTATCACAGGGCTACACTTAGAGACAGACAACCAAGCACACTCACATTCACACCTACGGACAATTTACAATCACCAATTATCCTCAACATGTTTCTGAACTGTGGGAGCAAGCCGGAGAACCCGGAGAGAACCCACGCTGCATGGGGAGAACATGGAGACTCCACGCAGAAAGATCCCGGGTGTCCTCACCGGGATGCCAACCGGCGGCCTTCTAGCTGTGAGATCACGGTGCTAACCAGGGTGCTAACCACCGAGCCACCGTGCAGCCCCCAGTTGTTCATATGTTCTAAAAGAAACCACCACACCAGACCACCTCCTTCCATCACCCCGTGGTCTAGCTCTGACGCTCCCACTTCCGTCGTAGCCACATTCTGCTGAGGTCCGGGGCTCGGCGTGGTCCGGGTTGCTGCTACAACACGCAGCGAGCCGCCCAGCTCTGCGTGTTCTGACACCTTTCTATCACCGCTAGCGACGACGGAAGCTAATTGTGAACATCCCACTTGTTTGCATGAGCGAGCTCTGCAATTTCACCGAGCGGAGACAGGTATCAGGGAAGAAGGGCATTTACTTCACTCCTACACTGCTTTTTGAAATCATGAAATAAATGTGCGAGCGCTCTCATTTGCATCACAGCTATGCTTTTAAAACATGCAGGGGTGTGGACGAGTGCTGGGCTCATCTCTGCCCGTAACG